AGAACTAAAGACACTAATTTTCTTAATTTTTACATTCAGTTTAGTTATAATTTATATTATGCAATTAATTTACTACCAAACAAGAGATTTGGTCAATTCTTGGCTTTACAGAAGATGTTTAATTATTTATCTTTAAGAGCTTAGGATTTTCTTCCTTCTACCTACCTATGACTGGACTGTACCTTAACTTTTAATGAAATGATCTTTTGTTTTTACTGTAAGAGTAATATATACTTTGTGTAAAATCAATTCCAAAAGTACTACATTGATAAATTAGAAATTAACTTTTGTCTTTACCTTTTCCACTTCTAATAATGTTGAAAAATGCTTGCACTTTCTTACCTTAAATGATTTTGTATTTGCTCATTAATTTATTCAGGAAATAGTGCGCATTAATACATTATGACCAAAGACCTCCAACAAAGTGGATTGACACAGTGGCTGCAGTACAGGACTTAAGCACAGTGGGGATTGCGAGAGTGCTGCAGTGGTGGTCAGGTTTTCCTTGTTGAGTCCAGGGACTCAAGAGCACCTAAAACCAGACTTCTTGTACTGGGGAAAAATAAAATTGGTTTAGGTGTAACTTTCCATGAGATGTCAAATTCAGATCCAGGTAGAGCTGATAACTTTGATAAAATAATATGAATGCCCAACTCTTGAGTTTCTTTTGTAAGAAAGGTATATTTAATAAAATGAATTTATAAGTGCTAATTGACTTCCAAACTTCATCATAATAATATTATGAAAGGTTGGCTCTAAAGAACACTCTGGAAAATTCAAACCATGCAGTATTCTTTAAACAAAATCTTGGACAAAGTGCAGCTGGAGTGCTCTTTGGATGAAAGAATGATGAAGCTATGCCTCACATATTTTGGGCATGTTGCTAGGAGGGGCTGTTCCTTGGAGATGGACATGATGCTGGGAAGGGTAGAGAATTGGTGAAGGAGATGAAGACCCTCAACCAGGTGGATTGAAATGGTGACTGCCACATTGGACTCTTGTGTGTCAGGAAGTGTGAAGGTGGCACATGATAGAACTGGGCTGAGATTTTTGTTCATAGGGTTGCTCTGAGTCATACTTGAAGGCATCTAACAACAACAACAACAAAAATGGGGGGGGGAATGAAGTTATTTTTAAAATTTTTTTTCTGTTTTTTTTAAATTTTTTTAATTTAGTTTGTTTATTTTTCATTTCAATGAACATCTACAGAGATTTTGGAATTCCATTCATTCATTGTTGCACCCTTCTCCCCGCACAAACCCCTCCCCCCCCCTTTGCTCCTCTCCTTGAAAAGCAAAAGAAAAACTCCCTCATTGGTATTTTTAAAATTTTAAAAAACCAAACTCAAATGAGATTATTTAGGATCTTTCAATTCCTCTAACAAGGATGGTGACGTTTAGTCTAACATACCGTGATGTTAATATGGAATGTTTTCAGGAGATGCCAGTCTGTGGAAAAAGACATTATACTGCGAAAGATGGAGGGTGAAAGACAAGAAAACCCTCAGCAAGATGGATTGACACAGTGACTGTAAGAATGAGTTCAAGCGTGTGGAAAGGAGTGTGAGGACGGTGCAGGGCAGCACAAGATTCAGATCTGCTATTTATAGTGTTGTTGTGCGTCACAGTCAACTTGACGACATCTAACAATGAACTCTTTTTTTAAGTCACTTTTGTCTCCAAGCTCCAGAACAATAGTTTCAGACAGTTTAGCTTCTGGCCTCGATTAGTCACTACTAGGCACACTTTCTACTCTCATTCCTACCTGCCACCCCCTTCTTGCTTCTGTCTCACCCATAGATAGTTTAACTATAAAGATTAGAACCCATTTAAACTAAGTCAGAGAAAAAGGAAGTTAATGAAGAAGTCTAAGAGACATCCAAAACCTAGCACTGCAGCAGGGGCCCCTAGAGAATATGAACGATAAATTCTAAAACTCAAGTTATTCTTAGATTCCACTTCTACCTCTCTTCCAAAATGTCTGCTCCTCTTTGATACATTCTCTTGCTAAAGGTCAGAGGGAATACTTGATTTATCATAGTCACAGCTTTATTGGGTGTGTCTTTTAAATTCTGTAGGGCCCAAGGGCCGCAGGAGCCAAATTTATTAATATTAGCATTCACATTCTTTAAGTGGTACAGCAGTTTGTCTATCTGCTGTACTGAATAACTTGGAGTTGCTGTGATGCTGAACACTGTGCCATTGTTGTGTCCAATACAATAATGGTTACCCATCATGCACAGTGTTTGGAGGAGCTTCCAGATTGATTCAGATTGGAAGCAAGAGTGGCATTCACTTCCTAAACCAGATGCCTCTGGAAACTCTATAAACTCTATCACCATAAAGAAATGATGTTAATTATAGAACAGAGTTCAAGTCTTTTGTGCATAAGGTCACTATGAGTCCTGTTTGACCTGATAACACTTAACTACTACTAAGTGAGATTAGTGTTGTTATATTTTGAAGGAACATTCTTCTACTTTGTACATTTCTCTTTGATGTACTGTGGTAATCTAGGTTTGCTGTGATGCTGAACCTTGTGCCATTGGGGTGTGAAATGCCATAATGGTTTCCCAATGTGGAAAGTGTTTAGTTGATCTTCCATTTGTAAAACAGGTATGGAAGCAGAAGTACCATCTACTTCCTAAAGAATGTGTCTGTAGAAACTCTATGAACTTGGAGAAATGATGGTAGTTATAGAAAGGCACGAGGCTTTTTGGTCAAGGAGTCACTAGTTGTGCTCTACTCAATGTCAACAACAGCAACAATACATTTTCAAATTCCTATAAAATAGAGCCTAATTGTTTTATTTAGATTGCTAGTGTGTGGCCATAGTGTGTACATGCAGATTTGTGTTCACATACATAAGGTTTCAGAAACACATTGGATGCACTTTCTAGAAGCCTTGGGCTGAGTAAGTGCTTTAAGAGGAAGTATGGCCGACAAAGCAATGGTAGCTGAGCCATTTTATAATTCTTGACTCCAAAAATACCCCATCTATTAGTCTGTGATGTTTTTCAACTTCTTTACAGTCTTTTTAAAAAGAGTTAAGAAAGAAAGCAGGTTTCCTAATTGCCTCATTCCTAGAAGCTAGTGAAGGGCATTGGTAGAGTGTATCTGAGGGAGCCTCAACTGAAGCTTAAAGTAACAGATGAAGTTGTAGAGCCTTAGGGAAAGTAGGAATACCAACAAGACAGAGTAAAAGAGATACTACCGCAGCCATGGACTGATTAACAGATGTCCTCGTGGTGGACCAAAGAGTCATCCTGAGAAATTCCCTTAATTACTGCAGGATCCTTCACAGAGGGTCATTGTCCTACACCGTTATTCAAGGTAACTACATGCTGACTATTTTGAAAGTTATCTTAAGGATCTTCCTGCTATGTGCCTATTTTTGGTCCTTGTGTCTTTGAGGCTGTATATTCACTTGGAAGTATCTAATGCGTCCCTCTTTTAGATTGTGTCTACATGGAGTTTCCTGTTTGAAAAGAATCTGTATAGTTCTGGGAACAGCACCAAATCACATTTTAAGGTTCTAAGTGGAAAACATCAGCTCATGATACCCTTGAGCCTAAGCTTGTGTCTACAAATAGCATAATTGTTGTGGCAACAAATTAGTTCTGGGGTTTATTTTATTCTGCATTATTTCTGACATCTGCCACAATACCTGATTTTGCTGATGGTCAAGTCCATAATTTATCTTATAAGTGGATGTAGCCTTGGATTCTATGTTTACTGTTGTCTCTTGACCTTCCCGATAGGCGGTTTTAAGTTACTCAGTGTTAAAAGTTCCTCTGTAGAAGGCAATGTGGAGACATACTGTCTAAAGCAGAGGTTGTTTTGATGGGGATTTGAAGAGAAATATTTGATGTTAGTAGGAGGAAAATTCAGATTTAATTATGAAGAAGCATTTAACTCTATTCCTACACAGGAATGTTTATTTTTCTGTTTTGTTTTTGTCCCACAGCTAAGAGGGGATCAGATAATTTGCTGTGTGTGCAGCGAGCGTTCAGTGGCCCTCCTCCACCTTGAGGAGAAGAGTTGTCTCCTACGTGCCCGGAAGCACCTTTTCCCTGTGAGGATGATAAAATGGCATCCTGTGGAGAATTTTTTAATTGTTGGATGTGCAGATGACTCTGTTTACATTTGGGAAATTGAAACAGGTACATTGAAATTTTACTTCCTTTCATCCATTGTATAACATAACATCAAAGTTGTTGGAGAGTTCCAGAGAAGACCTAGTGCCTGTTCTATTTACTTTAATCTTTAGTCGGGCTCCATTTACTATCCTCAGTTGAAGAGCTGTGCGGAAAATAAAAAGCACAGTGACATAAGTCAGATCCTGACCAACTGATTAGCTGACGGGGCAGTGCACAGGAATGAGCCGGATATTTCTAGAAGCTATAAATAAAAACATACCTTATCTACTTTAATTATTAACAAGAGAGAAATTTAGTGTCCTACCAGTCTCAAATTATCATTAAATTCTGCCTTCTTCAGCATACTCACCATCTCAGCAACATGTTGAGCTAATTGATGATCAGTAATAATGGAATATAATTAATTACAGAACTCCAAAAAGTTGAGTCAGCGAAACTAAAAACTGAGTGGCTCAGTTGAAATCTTGCTATCATAGGGTAGAGGATGGTATGATTTGAACCTTAAAACTTCAGCAGATACGAGGAGTGTATCAAATATGGCGAGGTAATTAATGGATGTGAGTCGGGGAGTTCACCTGAGAGTACAGACCAGTGGAACTGTTGCATGGTTTTTTATTGATTCTCAGTAGTGGTTTTATGTTAAGTGTTATTGACAGATTGGATAGTTTATAATATTATGGTTAAGAGTTATATGTCACCAAAATAATTGCTGTTTTCTTTACATTTGACCTTTTTTAGTGTTAATGTTGATGGCTAATATACTTGAATATAGAAAACAAAACTGGTTCAAAGACATATTACAATCACAAAATGCAACATAATTTTGCCATACATTTGTATTTTGCTTTGTAGCTTTTGACAGCTCTGGTAGCTTAGTGGTAAAAAGCTGTACTGCCAACCCAAAGGCATGTGGTCTGAATCCACCAGCTGCTCTGCAAGAGAGAGCAATCTCTGCAGTCTCCTCCCAGGTGATTTACAGCCTCTGAAAACTGCTGGAGGATCCCCATCAATTGGTTCTGGGTCAACATGTAACACCAACAACATTACAGTGTTTGTCACAATTTTATGATTATTTTCCTCATTAGAGTCTCACGTCTGGAGTAGGTAGGTAGGGAAGGTATTTATCCTTCACTTACTTTTTCTCTTTGCATATCGTTTGGATTTATTTTATGTGATGAAATTTATACCTGTTTCTGGTATAATTTATTTTAGAATAAAAATTCTTATTCATTATAATCATTTCCTATTGCTACCATTACAAGTTACAAATTAAATGGCCTAAAACAACACACACATATTATCTCACAATTCTTTAGATCAGAAGTCTGATAACACTTGTCAATTTCTTTCCCCAAGTTTCACAAATACGAAATTAAGATGTCTGTAAGATTTGTGTTCCTTTCTGGCAATTCTAGATGAGAACCTGCTTGCTGAGACATCTAGGTTTTCACTTGAATTTATTGGTATGAATTTGTAGAACTGAGGTCCTTTTTTCTTTTGGTAGAGAAGTTTCTATTTTCTTGGATCACTGTTGGCTTATAGAGGTTGTTTGTTGTTGTTGATTAACAACAAGTTGAGCATGACTCATAGAGACTCCATGAACAAAAGACCTGAAAGCTATTCTAGAACTATTGTCGTTTCTCGAAGTTCAGTTTCCAGAGGCATGTTGTTTAAGAAGTGGATGCCACTTGTATTCTCTAGATAATGGACCCGTTCCTCCATCTTCAACGTCCTCAATGAGAAAAATTTCAATGAAAACCTTCTCATACTTTAAATCTCCTTTACCCATCCTTTTTTACCATATCTTTCTTGTTGAGTCTTCCAATTTTAAGTCACCATGTAATTATAAACGGTGCCATTTTAGTATGCTGCACTACTAACACGAAGGCCAGAACAAGATTTGAACCACTAACTGTTCCTCAGTAGAAAGATGGGCAATCACTCCCAGATAATTTACAGCCTCAGACACTCAATGGAGCGTCAGCTATCTCATTTTCCATTTTGTTAGTGAAACACCTTCAGCTCTAATTTATTAATTTTTATAAAAACATTTATATAAAATGATTTATTATAAAAAGAATGAACATCATCTTGGGAGTTTGCAAACTCTAATCCACAGGGTAAATCTCAATGTATGCCTTTATTTTGTTGATAAAGTTGTTTAACATTGTACAGTTGCTTATGAGCACCATTGTTTTCTGTACAATTTACACAAAACTAAAATGAGCTTTAGAATTCTGAAACAATCACCCTGAGTGGTAGTGGTATAGTGTACTGGCTGAAAGAGTAGACTGTAAACCGGGACTTGCCTCCAGGGTGTACCAGCAAGCTTGGGCAGGTTATATAGCCTCTCTACTGTTTTCATCTGTAAAATGGGTGTAGTAATCCCATTATGTCAGCATTAAAAGAATGAATACTTACTATGCTCGTAAATAGTAACTCAGTACAATTTAATGTTATACTATTATTGCCATTATTATTCAAGGACTGCATTAACATCTTCACTTCTGTGAAGACAGACTCTGTAGAACACATGTTCATATAAAATATGTGCAATTGCAAATATACCACTTTTGCATGCTTGGTAATCTAACATAATTTTCCTAAAAGATAGGATTCAGAAGGAATAATTGAAACCCAAGTGTAGATTCAATTGCACCATGAGGTATCATCTTTCAAATCATGCATCTTTTTTTTATGTGCATTTTGAAGAGATGAGAATGAAAGGAAGACAAACCAATAGTACTTCTTTTTAATGTTTTTTTTTTTACTTCTCAGATTAATAATCTAGTGTTATAGAATATTTATAAAATTCAGAGAAGCATTGCAGGGGGGGAATGTAACCCTATCCTGCCACCTAGAGACACCTGCTATTAAGAATTTGATCTATTTTCTGTCAGACATCAGTACATGTCAATAAATAAGTGTCTATATTATATTTCTGTTGTGGTCCTGGCAGGAAACTGAATTCAACCCAAATGGGTCAAATGAAGAGACTTTAACAAAAGATGTAGAAGTAAAGAGGTGGTAGAGATTAGAGAACAGAGAGGGGATTAGTGGTGAGACTTCCAGAACCTACTCACTAGCCACATTAGGGACATCTCTTGGGCAGAGGGATGAAGAGGAAAAGTTAACATTACTGGAGCCCAGTGCAAGACGGAGCTGAGGAAGAATAGACAGATTTGATGATGTGGAAGGGAAATACTCTTCTTGGAGACAAGAGGCTAATGTATGGAGAGAGTTGGAAGAGCTCTGTTCCTGAGCTATTTTCACTGGTTTAATTCCAACTGCAAGATGAAGGGCAAGAGGGCAGCTTTAGATGTCATTCTCTTTGAAGAGAACATTCGGAAGTCTGGATAAAAGATGGAATGGGTTGGTAAATTGACAGTGATCTATAGAGTAGCCATTAGAGGGTCTTAATTTAATTGAAGATCTTTTCCAGTTGACCGTATAGATTCCCATACAAAGTTTACTATAGAATTCTTGAGTCAAGAAATAGGCATATGTTTGCTAGCAAGTTAACCTGTAGAATATTTGTTCCAAATGAGGCTGTTTATCTATCCTAATAGTTAATAAACAACTTCAAATGAACATAAGTTGGTGGTTAAGATTGGTGATAATATTACTATTATATCAATGCCTATACATGTATCTCTTTATTATTTCAAAACCTCACCTTACTGGCTCCTTGGAGCTCTGGAACACTCTATTAAGTTGTCCAAGGGCCCAGCATCTCTCATTATATTTGCTTGCCTACATACACTTACATTGTTCCTTTTGAATCTTCTCTGATATCAGCTTAAGCTTTAAAACTCTGTGATGTGAAATGTGCTTAAAATTTAATAAATTAGGTAACTTTCTTCTTTCCCAATCAGATTTCAGCTAGCTAAGATGCTTTCACCAAACGTGCTTTTGGTTTCATCCTTTTTCTATAATGATCAAAGAATCTGGCATTATATTTTAATTTTCATCAACTTTGATGAAAAAAAATATTAGCTTTGAATATACCAATTAGGCTGAACTGAGAGGTCTTGAGCCTAGGAGATATGCCAGTATGACAATATATTTGGTCTTTGAAAGAATGAAAACTAGAATGAACTTGCAAATTAATGAATCAACCCAAATCGGCGTGGGCTTCAGTAGATAGAGTGCCATTGAGTTCACTTGAACATGAACCAGTCATGACTCTTAGATTGTGGTTTCCCAACTGGGGGCTTACTTTCTCCTTGAAGCCCATCATAATGTTTTCTGGAGTTCATGAAGCATACCTCATCTCTTCAGGTGTGGTGCTTTCCATTTTCTACACCTTTTCATAGGCCTCTTTCCTTTAGCTTTGCTTCTGGATCTTATTCCCATAAGGTTAAATTAAGTTTCATGTGTGAACAAACCTCAAATTTTGCTTCATTCTTTCTGCCCACTCTCCAGTACTCTATGTCCTATACATACTATGAGGTCATGTAACATGAGAACATCTCCAGATTTCCTAGAGAGAAAATAGGAGTTGTTAATAGGACAAGAGCTTGGGCAGAAAAAATGTAGAAAGAGTTGGTAGACTAAGGGGCTTGAAGTGAATAGAAATTAATTTCCCAACAATGTCCAAAGTCGGCTTTGGTGAGATGTTGACAACAGAGAGTGCAGAGTGAGTCCCTATATCACCCCAAGAGATGAAAAGGCTGTGAGGCCTTTACAAGCTTTTAAAATGGCTTCATTATTATTAGCTTTGTTCACACTTTTTTTTTTTT